GCAGCGTCAGGCAGCACTGAGGGTAGCATCTGCCTACCGAACAGTGTCCGAGCCCGCCGTCCTGGTGATTGCTGGAGTCATCCCCGTCAAACTTTTGGCGGCGGAGAGAAAGGCAATTTACCGGCGCCGCGGGGAGGACGAGGCACGAACAGAGGAACGCACCCGCACCTACCAGCTGTGGCAGGAGGGCTGGGAACAGGAGACACGGGGACTCTGGACCAGGCGACTGATACCGCAAGTCCAACCTTGGGTTGATCGGCGGTACGGAGAGTTGGACTTTTACCTCACCCAATTTCTGACGGGACACGGCTTTTTCCGGTCGTACCTGTTCAGGATGGGCAAAGCCGTGTCTCCCGACTGCATATACTGCCTAGGCATTCTCGATGACGTGGAACATACATTTTTCCACTGCCAGCGCTGGGAAAGGCCCCGCCTGGAGGCTCAACAGTTAATAGGACTGCTGTCGGTGGACACGGTCATACCGATTATGACGGAGGGTGAGGACAATTGGACCTGTGTGTCACATTATATCCAGGGTATCCTCCGCGCCAAGAAGATCGACCTTGACCGGGATGCGGTGTAGGTCATAAAGAATCAAAATGCCAGAAACGGTGCGAGCCCTGAGGGCTTAGGTCACATGTTGGCCTGACTTGAAGTAATGTGACAAACAATTCCAGGTCTGTGTCCAACAGAGTAGAGGGGGTTTTTTAGTGAGTAGTCTGATAATTTCAGGAGTCTCACACTACAGGCTGGCTACCTGTGTGCGTAAAAGCATTTTCCCTCCTCTCCCTAAAAAAAAAAAAAAAAAAAAAATAAGAAAGTATAAAGAAAAGTAAGGTATAAAGTACAGTACAGTGGAACTTGGTTAATTTGAACCTCAAGGGCCTTCTAACCATCCAAAAATTCTAATTTAAAAAGTTTAGTTTAAAAGGCTCAAATCAATCAAACTTTACAATTCCGCATAAAACCCCTTATTATGAATAACTTAAACTTTCGTTTTACGGTACAGTAAATTAAGTAGCATACAGTAAATGATCTTACTGACAGTAGAAAAATAGACTACACTGTACTGTTAGTGCGTGAAGCAATAATGTTTCTGAAAAAAATCAGAGTAGAAACAATCGAAGGGTTGCAGGGGTTGGACAATGACCACGAAAGGAGCGTGCGCCACAGACGTGAGTCAAGGGCAAACAGTCGAGTAGGGCGGGGGAAGGGGTGGGTGCAACCTTGAAGCTGTATTGGACTTGAACCACTGCCCTAAAGGGCTGGCGAGGGAGGTTTCGACCACAGGCCAATAATACTAATTTGTTTTTTGGGAATTCCTTGCCCGGGTTTTGACTTTCGGTTGTCTTTTTTTGCGTAGAAACTTCGAACTATCCAAAATATAACTCAAATTAGCCAAGTTCCACTGTGGTATGTTTGAGAGTCAGAAAAAGGTATGAATAAATAACACAGGTTCAACAATTAAATTACAATAAAGGTAATCAAATCAGTGACTTCTTCACTAAAATCAAGGTAATCAAATGAGTGACTTCTTCACTAAAAGTTAAATCCGTTACTTTCTTCGACATTTGTGCCACTTAACCAATTTTTCTGTGGCTTCTGTATTATTAAAATAAAGTAACCAGCCGAGCCAAGTAGAAAGATGTGTCGAATCCAAATCTCAAATCCTAAGAAAAGATTTGCATTTGAGATTCGAGAATCAAATTCAGGTACACTGACAGTTACGCCGACTCGCAGCCAGCTCCTAAATAACGTGTAGCAGCAGTGACGATCCACGCATAGCTGGAACAAAGCCAAACTCGGTCTAAAAAGTTCATGGCTGTGGCTTGAATGTGTCCTAGTCGAATATTATTAATATTTTAAATAGGGATAGGCCGATAACAGAATTTCTTGATTCTAGTTCTGAAATATTACTCACGATTCTAGATACCAATTCCATATATAAAAACAAATATTTTTAAGGAAGTTTCCATGGTCAATGTTTTGTTGTTTTTATCATCCATGTTTAAATTCTGAATCAGACAACTGGTGTAGTTCATGTCTGGCCAAAATTATCGTGTGCTCTCAGTTATATTGCATACAAGTCTGATAAGTAATCAGAATCTGGGAACCGCTCTTGCTTTTTACGAAACAAAATAATAGTCGTAGACTGAAAACATCCAAATTGATGTAGCCGTGGCACGGCAACTCAAGAAAATCGAGATGCTGTAGAATGTTGTTATGTTGGTACCACTAGAAGAATCAACCTAGCTCTTTGGCTGTTGGCTTAATTGCAATCCCACAATCCCCTAGTTCCAAAGTACTATTCCCCTAATACATATTGGGGACAACATCTCTCAATTCTCGCATTCAGTGCTACCTTCGGTTAGTAGCTCTAGTTCAGTGCGAGCGACTATTGCCACCATTGATGGTATCGACTTTTGACCGCAATAAGTATTTGTCGGCGTTCGTGTAGCAAGCAATGGCGGAACTGTACTGTAGACACTAGACAGACGACAACGGTTTACACAAAATGATTCTTTGTTATTTTGCGTCAAAAAATATATATAAATGCGTTATAAAGGTCAATTTTGTGATTTTTCACAGTGTAAAAGACTGATCTTCATCAAATTTGGATAGCATGATACCGTGCCATAGGATATTTCAGACAACTTGATGTATAAAATTATTAGGGGTCTGCGGGTCAGACTTTTTTGGTTCGGGTCGGGTCGGGTCGGGCCGATAATTTTGGTCCTCGGGTTTCGGGCCAAAATCGGGTCGGGCCAAAAATTATTAATTACCGGATTTTTTTTCTTTTAACTCTGTGTTTATAATATTACTTGAAAATAAAATATGAAAAAAGATTGTATTTATGTATATTATTTCATGTTCATAACTTATTTACAGCTTAGGAGTTGAATCAACTGCAAGAAAGAAGAAAATATTTTTTTTTATCAAGCCATTCTTTCCCATTTTCATAACTGTTGAAATATCTAAATAGTTATATTACAACAAGTTTGAAATGGAACTTAATATAAAAGGATCATAAACAAATCAATTAACCTTATCACAAGTTTAGGGCCTGTGGACTGGCTTCAAGACTGCAAGCAAGAAGAAAATAAAAATTCTATGTTTCCACCATGCAATATGAATCATTCATTCCCTGCCTCCTAACCTCCCAAGTATAAAAACCTCACATTTACAATAGCATTATTAGTTACATCATCATAAATAAAGAATTATCTATTATTGGCATTTAGGCCTACAGCTTTACATAGGAATTAGGTAATTTTTATAGTAATAGGCTAAGCAACATGACAAGTGGAGAACTCATTGAAGAAAAGATATTGTGTAAACTAATTTACTATAACACTCTAAAACAGTAAATAACACACATACATTGTTTATGGTATAGTTATAGTAAAGGCTGTAAAAATTGCATATCATGTCATACACAGTAGTATAGACCTACGGTATTGCAAGAGATTAAAATCCTAAAACAACTGATTTTGATAGCTAATAAATGAAAAGAATTAAAAATCCATAAACTCAAGTCAAACAATATCACAATTAATTAGGTAGCCTACCTGAAAAGGAACTCTTAATATAATTATAGAAAATTTTAAATCAAGAGAAAAGAAAGTTAAATGCTAATTTGGCAACATAAGCAGACAGCACAGAAATTATAGTGCCCTAATGAGCAACACAACTCAATGTTTTTATACTGTAAGTCAATGTTTTTGAAACTGTAAGGTATTTTTCTCGGAAGGAAGGGTAGTAGAATGTAAACAAAAAACCATGAATCACACTCACAGCCAGGTCCGGGGCCCGGGGACACTCAAGGTTACAGACCCTCCCCCTCCCCTCCCCTCTTGCACAACCCGGCTCGGGGACACTCAAGGTCATAGACCCTCCCCCTCCCCCGCCCTATTACACCACCCGGTTGTCCAATTGCTGACAAAATGCAAGTAACGAAACAAGGAAGTAGAGACAAAAATATATATTATTTCTTTATTAAAAAATATAAAACTGTTACAGATAATTTCCAAAGAAATTAATTCATGGTAGTATGTGTCTTGTAAATATTGTATTGGATCTTAGAAATATCCTTTTTGAAACTCAATCTAACTTAAGAAAAAATAATTTTACTGATGAAAACTTTCATACAAATTATAAAATATTTAGGCCTAACCTCTTTGTAGACTTGCTGATACTTGATACTTTTTAAAAAAAATGAAATGGTGACCATACAATGCAGAACCAGACGATCAGAAGTGTTGTTTTGTTTTGTTACTGAATGACAAAAAGGACAATAGGAAAATAAAAGAACAAGATACAGATCTGTACACTATATCAGATATTTCTTTTGTTTATAATTTATTATGTAAAATACTAAAATATATTTTAAACTAGGTATGGAATAAACAATAAATAATTAAACTGCTACCTCTGGATAAATAGTCTTTCTTTTGACTTCGTTTTCTTTGCACTGTTGCGTCACGGCTTTTGTCAGTAGCCGACTGGACTGGCTCTGGCTAGTGACAGTACGGCAATTGCTCTGTTGTGTCTTTGTTCTTAAACCATCGTGAGCAAACTTAATATTTAATTAGAATTTTAACGTTTTAATTCCTCTGTAATAATATATATAAGGGTGTTTCTTTGAAAATAACTTATTATAACTTTGAAAATAATAATTTAATTATTTTTTTTTTGGCCCGACCCGATCTTGGCCCGATCAAATCTCTGACCCGACCCGGTCTCTCGGGCCTTCCGCTGGCCCGACCCGACCCGAAAAAATCGGGGACCCGCAGACCCCTAAAAATTATTCATCTTGTCAGTTCATTCATAAATTTGTTGGTAGAGTGCTGAAGAGAAGAGGGATAGAGTCTGTTCAGGTCTAACAGACGGAAACAGATGTTTGGAAAATTTAAATACAGTAAAAACACACACAGATACTTTACATAACAAATTCTTTATGAGGAATCCAGACCAATTAGTTATTTTTATCACAAACTTACCTGTCCAGAAATTTCAATTCCAATTTCATCCAGGACCTGGTTGACTATGAGGTCAGTTTCTTCTTCGTCTCCTGACTCATCAAGCATGTCATCCAGTGTGTCATTTACTATGGAAAAATTTCATTTGTCAATCAAATCTCCTTAGAAAGAAACCAAAACCACTAGTGTGTGATATAAAATCGTTGATCTTTAAAATCAAATTGTACCATAATTTTTAAGAATTACCAAAAAATATTTAACCAAAGTTTAATATTGGGGAGTAGGCTAATAGTGTCATTCACCCAGCTCATAAATCATTCAGGAGCTTGTAAAAATGATGTAAGCTTAATCTAGCTTGTATACGAGATACAAAGTTCAATGGGTTAAAATTATAATTTATACTTGGCAAAAATTTGTGGACAGTAGGCTATAGAAACTTGCATCACCCAACTAACATACCAGTAAATGTATTGCTGTACAGAGCTGGCTTTAGGCACGTGCAAAAGGGGCGGCAGCACCAAATCCAGTGCTTGGTGAAAAATACAAAAAGTTTTATAAGTCTGTGAATTGTAAATCAATTATGTCAATCATGAAAAAAGGAATATAAATACCAATATTAGTCAATAGGCCTACATTGAGATTTTTGTTAATAAAATGTAGGCGGTTTTAGGGGAAGAAATCTATCCCCTCCAAGTCTTGATCCTACCATTAAAACATAGCTCAACAGCTGAGAACTCCCCCTCAAACCGCCTACAAATTGTGAACGGACTAGGCTGTCTATAGTAATTATTGTTTGGATACTAATTTTTAGTAGTAACGAGCCCCGCTCTGAATGTTTGCACTGGGCCCAGGGGGTCTTGATCCCAGAATTCCAGTTGAATTTTGGTACATATAAATCCTGGGATAGTCTCTTAATCCCGGAATTAACCATATTACAAAACCTATGTATATATTTTTCTATGAGTTTTATCCAATAGTCAACGGTTTTACTAACTGAAATTAATTGACAAAAATGTCTAATAACAATAATTGAAACATTTATTTACACTTATAGTCTACTGGTCTACTGTTTACTTACAAGACAGAGTAAATTGGTTAAATATAAAAGATGATAAGTTGTGATTGTTTTGTATGGACACTTCAATCATCACACTCAATAGGCGAATGTAGTGTAGATATATGTTTCAAATGTTATTAAACTATTTTTATTTACTCGTACAGTCTAACCTTGATATAACGAACCTCGATATAACGAATTCCTTGATATAACGAATTTTTTGTAATCCCCTAGAACTCTCCATAAGACACAATGTATATTTTACCTCTACATAACGAACAAACCATAACAACGACCTTGGTTTAACGAATTTTTCATGATTTCGGCTAAAATAAGACACCTCAATATAACGAATTTATCATTGTCAGAACCTCTACATTGCGAATTTAACCTCTGTACAACGAATTGTCTACGTCTTTCCCTCAATATAACAAATCCCCCACCCAATTATTGTTTTGGGAAAATCTGTTTCTTTATCAAATGAAATGGAAAGGTCACGTCATCGCTTGCAACTTTTGTGATTTATCCCCATAGAATAATATTATAGTTAGTCCCACTGGCTTACCCGCGATAAAGGTTGTTTACAACTACAAGCCTACAAGCTTATGGGAGAAAGTATGTGTCAGTTTGCTGATACCGTTTATTTTAATGATTCATTACACTCACATTCTGAAAACTAGTGTTTTATTATTAAAAATGAAATGTAGCAAAAAAGTAGTTTGCTACAATTTTATTGTAGTTGTAGCTATAGCAAGCTACATTTTGTAAAAATGTAGAAGTGGCAAAAGCAAGCTACATTTAAAAAGTAGTTTACCCAACACTGATTAATCCTTAGAATTTGGTTTATTGGACCAAGCAGCAATACTTGCCTTAAAGAGAGGGTTTTGGAGTTATGAAATACCTCTGGTTCTGAACTAAGACTTGCTCCAGAACTACAGAAAATGGGTTTCGGAGATCAAGTTCTGAACTAAAGTATAGTTGAGAATTGAATTAGTTTCCAAATTAGGTTCCATATTGGCCTGTTAGTTTCTCCAGTTGTGGAAGTATCCAGCTAAGCAACTTAACGAGTTTAGTGTTGAGTGAAGTGTGACGTTTGCATGCAGGTGTGGTTCCTTATTGCTTGCATTTTCTTTTGTTTATTGTATGTATTTCAAAAATTCTTGAAGACTTGTGAACATTTATTTACTGTACACAAAAAGATCTGAAGATAGAAATATCTTTTAACTTAGAAAGACAGATAAGAATTGTGCAGTGTAACATTGCAACGCTTGCAAGACGAAAGGGAGTAAGTAATTAATTATGATAATCCTATATACTTACGCCTCTTTGTCTTGCAAGCGGCCATTAGAAGTCCAGATTAAAACATTAGAGGACTCAACAAAGGGTCTCCACGCTCTTATTAAATGGCTAAAAAGGTACAATCATATAATAATATAATTCTAGAATTGATCCCGGTAGTCGGCTTTGACAAATAGCAAAATACCGGGATTATTACATGTGTTGTTTTCCAAGCAATTGTTCGTTTCAGGAATAACAAATGTTTGTTCACTTTGATGTGTGCAAGAATACCGTACTGACAATGAACGAAAAAACACGAGCACAAATATTTGCTGCTTGCCAAATAGACAAACATCTATCCACATTTCGGCGAGTCGCTGCTTGGTGCTTGGCGAATGGCGCATGTCTGGAGCCGCCTTAACACTGTGCAGGGATTTTTACATAATAATGGAAAAACTGCAAACCAACCAAACGATTTGGAAACTTCCTGCCTATTGGTCCTTGTGTCATTAGCTGCTATAGCACTACCTGCGCACTAGCACTACACGCAGTCTACTATAAATGTAGTACTGCGCTCCCCTCGCTAACATTGCCTTGGTGTGAGCCCAGCATTAATACTGCCATTTTTAATGATTTTAACTCAAGATTTACAAACCAAACTGTTGTTGCACAGTAAGAAAATCCCATTAGATTCCTGTTTTGGAAATCAGGATGGAAAAAATCCTGTCCTGTACCGTCCTGATCAGATCTAAAAGTCCAATAAACTGTAGGTCCCTTAGTTGCCATTGAATGTATGGGCTATTAATTAATAGCTGTGTCTAAGGAACATATCAGCCTTAGTCACTAACAAGACTACAAGATCGCGCCACTCATCCTACACTCATCCTTCGCTCATATTAGGGTTAAAATACGCAAATAGTGGCGTCCCCATCTTAAATAACTGATAATTGATTGATAATACCGTAAAACATAGGCTATAGTATTTGGCTCACTCACTCATTTCATCAGTCATTTCCATCTTCATATTAGCCTGAGCAAAGTCTCGCATATTGGCTGCTATCTGTTCTGGTTTCATGATGGTATTCATATCTTTCATCGTCTTGGCTGTAGTTGACATAGCATTAGCCAAACTTGCATTTGCTCCAATAGTTTTGTTCTGAGCACCTATACTTTGTATCTGTAAACAAACAAAATAATTCATCACTTTAGTACTGGCATAAGAATTGTGGGAAATAACATATTAACTTACACTGAGTATAACGGTTACAGTTACAAACTCTAGAAAAAATTTCATTTTCTTGTTGAAAGCAGTCTATTAAAATTGGTTTCAAACCCTAAAACTCTGAAACCTTTGAACAGATATATCATTGAAGTTTTTTTTAGCTTGTTTTCCAGATAGGGAAAAAGCTATTACCGCAGGTTTCAAGGTTAGATCTAGACCCGTTCAATTCAAATTCATATTTATGAGTGTGTCTGTTAGCACGATAACTCGGGTAACAATGTAGCATACCTATATAATCATAACTGTATAACCTAATATATAGCCTGTAATGTATAAACCAACATTAATTGAAGGAGTTTGCAAAACCACTAACCAGCATGATCGGATTATGGGAACGCATTTTTATGGCCCGTTAAAATTAAGTTTTCTTATTTTTGACCTGAAAAATTAAAAAAACATAGTTTATTTTAGTGTTTTTGTTACAGTTAATGACTACAGTAGAATCCCTGATATCCGGCCACGGTTTTACTGGTCCTTGGTTTATCCGGCCACTTCCAAAAAGCCAATATTAAAATGTTTTTCTAACGGCTTAAAACAAGTAGTTGCAAACTCTACTGTAGTCTTGACCGGTCTCACACAATTTCTCTGTTTGTTTACTGTGTCTCTACTCAGTTAAGCTAGTAAGCCTAGCCTATTGGTTGGTTATTTCCAGTGCAGGGTTAGTGTATTAATTGTTTTATTTTGTAAGAATAAAAATGAGTATGATATTTGAGCAGAAAGATATGCGTAGGTACCATTTAAGGCCCAATGATCTTCAAGATAATATTTATTGTGAGTCATTTCTTTTTTTTCAATCATTTTTATAAAAGGCTGATTTGCCCGTCCAAATCGTTATCCGGCCAGGCGCTTGGTCCCGTGGTAGCCGGATATGAGGGGTTCTACTGTATGCAGAAAAAAAAATGTAATTTAAAATTCCCAGGTTATTATACTTGAAGTCCACTGCCAGTTTGCTCCAGTTTAGTTTTATTAACTGACCTATCATTAATTTTTGTCAGCATGTATCGTTCACCCAGTGGTAACTTCAGACTTTCTTGGACAGTTAGAGAAATGCCTGCTTTCTAACTCAATTTAATAAAGCCGATATCATTGGCTCAGACCATGAATACGATCCAAGAACTTAAGAATTTACTGATGTTCAAAGGTATTTTGGTATGTTTTTAAAAATAACTGATTTATTTATTAAAATACATCACATAACGCCTAAGGAGTGCTTCTGGACGCAGGCAGATAAATTGTCATAAGATACATTGTGTACTTACATTTAGTTTAATTTTTTTTTTTTTTTTTTTTTGGTCCTAGGACGCTAGGCACGAGCCTGGGATTGTTTTTCACATTACTTCAGGCTAGACCTAGGGGTTGCGGCATTATCATGTGGATCAAATCCATTGGTGACTTGGCGGGGATCGAAGCCGGGACCTCAGGAACTGAAGTCCCGCGCTCTAACCACTACGCCATCTCGCTCCCCACATTTAGTATAGAATAAAAGCAACAAATATAAAATAAGCTATCAGCAAAACTTACAAAGTTATATCAATGCCAAGAAACTACAATCTACCAACAATTTCTAGAGTCTACTACAATTAGACTTATTCTTAATGTTGTAAAAACATTTGTCTAATAGGTACGACAGTAAGTATAACCGAAACCTTTTCTAATGAATCCACCTACTTCAGAGATAAAGGAAGCTTATTAGATAGATTGAGACCCATATAAAATGGACTCTTTTTATAAGAACAAGAAGTAGATTTATGTATGGGTTATTGCAACACAGAGCTCATGGGCCTAAAGCTGTATTGGGAGTTAGTTCTTTTTTCTTTAAAAATGGCAAAATGTTTTTTGACAAGGATTAAAGTGTTGAATATATACCAAGAGGGCACAGGTAAAATCTTCATCCTTTTAAACAAATTTCTACAGGATGTTCTTGGACTAACATGTGCGTAAACTCTTATAATTCTCTTTTGCATTTTAAATACTACAGGGTCCATTCAATAAATAGTAAAAATAGTAGCGTACTGTCGAGAAATGCTGTGTACTTTTGCTTTAAACTCGGAAAATCCGCGTTGGATACCCTGTGGCACTTCCCCTGAACTCAATACCATATATTACCAACATTACCATAATACTCAATACCATAAGAGCCAATGTTAGAGTGCATGTTTGCAAATTATACATTATCTGAGTTTTTCATCTATTATTTTAGAAAGCACTAATGTAACGTGATTAGGGGTCTCAATCCCGGGATTTCGGGATTCGTCTCAGCCGAAATAATAATCCCGGTATCCCGGGATCAATCCCGGGATTATACAATATTATGATTTTTTACTTTATAGCCATTTTAAATGAGCGAGAAGTCCCCTGGTTGAGTACTTTAATGTTTTAAACTGGCCTTACCAGTGTTACACTGCGCAATGTTTCCGTTTTCATTGCACGTATTTCTTAATTACAGTGCATAAATGATGATATGTCACTCTAGAATATAATAAATACATTTTAAAAATCAAAGGCTACGCTAATAAATAGATTAAAGATAGCTAAGATAAAAAGATAAAATGGGAATAATCATGAGTATCAGCATAAAAATGTTATTTTTACTGACAGCAATAAAACAATAAAACAATAAACCATCTGCTTATGTAGTAGCGTGTGTATGAAAAACATAATTTAGGATAGTAAGAAATTTAATCACCACACTAATAACCAAATACGAAGATAAAGTTATAGACCCTAAATATAAGCAATCTTAATAATGAGATTATAATGGTGTGTTTATAGTTATATTTTATGGCTTCAATGAAAATAATACTTCAATTTCCGATTGCAATGTTATGTTTGCTACACGAATTGCGTTGTTTAAGTTTAATGTCAAAAGTAAAACTCAAAATAACTTATAGGCCTATTGTAATTAAGTTCTAACACTAATGTAATAACATTTACAGACAGAAAGTAAATCCTAATCGTCTAAAAACTGAGACATATATTTACATTCGTTCGCCTATTGAAGTCAATGATAATTAAATTTTCCAATCAAAATAGATCATTACTTATACCATTTCATATATATATATATTTATCGTCCTAAAAAGTAAAGAGTGTATGTGTTTAAAATGTTATTGGACGTATATTTATTTATTTTCCATAAGTAAAAGTCCTCAAATTCACAAAAAATAAATATAAACATAGGTTTTGTAATCCCGTTAATCCCGGGATTAAAAGTCACCAATCCCGGGATTTCTAGGTATCAGAAATCGGCCAGGATCCCGGGATTCGGGATTCAAATAAAATCAAATCAAATCGTCTTTATTTCATATTGTACATAAATCAGTACATGGAATGGCGTCAAAAACTATATCTAAAACTTAACATAAAGAAATCAAGTCTAATAGAAATCTACATATCTAATTCCGTAAGCCCAAAATTTTACAATGAAATTGTGAGCGAACGGGAGGCCGTAGAAAACGGGGAGAGGTCTCGTTTTTAAGGTCTGGGCATGAAATTTTGGGGAAAATTATTCATTTTTCTTAATTATGCACCAAAAGGTTGTTACAGGATAAAATAATTCACATTTAAATAACATGGGAATCTAGTTTTATGTCTTTTTATTTAGTGGAAACACAGATTATATAAATTGAAGAAATTATAACCACACCTGTGTAATAGGAGGGTCAAATATTGTAAAGAGGAAGTGTTTGGCAATGTTGTGTGAGTAGGCTGGTAGTGTTGTTAAACAATAACTTGTTGTGCTGACCTACTGAAGGCTGTTGCTTTAAGTAGGCCAGTGCACTTGATCAAGGGGTCAGTTTTGGTGTGTAGTGTTTGTGTGGTGCACCTGAGGACGGGGTCCTGCTGGGGGAGCTGGAGCCCAAGGCCCTTGGCCTTGGGTCCAGGTAAGAAAATGTTAAGGGTTTTCAAAATTGGGGTTTAGAGTCTTTTCCAAATTGGGTTTTAAGTTCCTAACTCATTTATACAGTTCCAGTCTACTCTACCTTTTTGATTGTTAGTTGAGCTTTGTGTTCTTTGTGTTGTTTTGAGTAATTAATAAAGTTGGGTTTTGTAAACGAGTGCTGAGTTTCATTCCTGAGCTACGTCACCCAAAGTAACAGTAGGTATTCCAAGAGGAATACGACCGTTACACCTGAATGTGCATTATTTTATTATTGTAAAATTGTTAGTGAAGTAGTAAACAACACAAAGTGGAACTTAGTTAAAATCTTTTGAACAAACAATTTGATACTTTTAAACTAAATACTTTACAATGGATTGTTCTTTTGCACGGTAATGTATAATGTCGGAAGACTATCACCAGTGTATACTCAATGCTACCACGCAGAGGTATTGTTCCTCGAAATGAGAACAACAGGCACCAGATTTGGCACGATACACGATATTAATGGAAGAAGAATAAATGAGCATCGGATGAACATGAATTTATTCCTGTGTGTAGATTACCACTTTTAAATGATATTGCATTACACAGCGTAGGACCAATGAACGATGGGTGCATTCATTGTGGTGCATTGCGCAATTTGATTTGGTGAAATTGTGGCACAAGGCACACAACCGAACCTTCACAAAAGTTGGCATTTATTTGAAAAACCCAGTTTTTACCCCTTTTAGATAGTTAAAGAGGCCAGATGATGTTAAAATAGTACTAGAACCAAATAAAGACCAAGGAATCGACCAAAATGGATACTATACAACAAGTGTTGTTTCAGAGAGAATTTTGTTATAGAATTAGCATTTTACAATTTGGATGATGACATTATCTCTATGTGTTTTTCTAAGAGAATTTGTCTATAATTAAAGAAATCTATAGGCCTATAGATTTCATTAATATTCATTCAAAAAGATTGTTAATGGAAAATGTTCCTTAGTTTCATTATGATTAGAAAGTTTAT